CTTACAACTGGGGAATCGAAACCACATCAGTTGACCAAATGACAGACCTAATGATACAGCGCGCACCTGTTCACTATTTGGCCACCCATCCCCCTTAACTATTAAACATAAAACGTCGATATAAACACGTTTTCCTGTCTGTTATATTAACAACATCTAGAAACTATTCCAAATTATAACAGTAGTTTTGTGCTTTCGGAACCGATATCACATTTTGATGTGTATACCCGAATTTGAGATTTTGCGGAAGAAGAAACAGAAATGAAACGATAAAATTCCCAATTAGATTGCATAGGATCGCCAGATGTCGAAAAACGCACAATCGACCTGGTGCGTGAATACAGCAATGTGTTTTTGAAAATTATAAACCTGTAACGGTAAATCTCTTTGATCTTTGGAGTATATTCTATGCCCGGAATAACTTGCGGTCTGAATGTCGGGGGGGGGGGGGGCTGTATTTGGGGTTATTCTTCTGAAAGTTTTTCTTTAAACCTGTATTAGTCCGGTGGCTGAAGGGGGGGGGGGTCGCCACCCGAGCTGTGAATTTATGAGACCAAGTTATTCTAGACCAGCGTAGATTCCAAATCTGGGTGGTGAACAGGCGTTTGAGGGGGCGTTTTCGAGATATGGGGGTTCCAATGTCTACAATTGGGGGAAAATGTGATTATGTTGGCATATTTATATATAAATAAAACATAGATTTCTAGGACTGTCCATCTCTAAATTTTAGTGTATATGATGCGCCTTGACAACTGTTTTGATTTGTGGCGAGACTGATGGGTGATTGCAGGTGTGCTTGTGTGGAAGGGGGGAGGGGGAGTAAATTGGCGGAAAATTAATTCACGTTGATTTAAATGATGAAACATCTCTATAAATATGTGTATAAGATTCCCATTATGTGTGTGTGTGGGGGGGGGGGCGGTGGGGGGGGGGGGCAACATGTATTTTTGTGCACAGATATCATTTGGTTCAATATTGACCTTAAAAGTGGTTTCTCGTTAGCTTTTCGTTCAGTACTTATATTTGGTCATTCAAAATATTAAATTATGATGGTACTTTTCAAGAGATCTGGAAATGTAAATCAAAAACACAGTAAATCAGAGACATGTTTAGAATATTAGTTTATTCTTAGTCTTCATCAGAAGATTCAAAATCAAAAGTTCATAATATGAGCGGGATAAATATCTCGCATATGTCCTTTGGATATTCTTCAGATACCAGTTCACATTGTAAATCTTCATTCCAGTCATGTTATTTTTTCACCCAGAAAATCTTTCTTCTAGCGTCATCTACTGATGTAAGTCGATATTTCCTACCTTTGCACGTCTCATTATCGATCAAAATGTGTCTTTTTGGATCATCGTTTGCGAAGAGAACGATCGGGATGTCTATGTCGCCCGAACAAGAACACAAAAACAAAAAATACAATTTGTTTCAGCGCCTCCATTAATTTGCAATTCGAAGAGGAGTAGGTAAGCTATTTTGGTGTCCTAGTGGTTTGTTGTCACTCTAGGATGTTCTCGACACTTTCAATACTAATCTTGATATAAGAGTCTAGGAAAATCTCGGCCTGCATGCTTTCAGTGGTAATGACTATCTGTTTTCCTTTTACTAGATAATTCCAACTTTCTAACAATTTTTAAAGAGCTGGGACAGGCAAATGATGTTTCTGATGACGTAATTACTGAAATAGAAATAATTGTTTGTGCCATGTACGTGAAAGGCGAATTACATCAGTAGATGATATTAGAAGAAAGATTTTTTGGAGGAATTTTAATTGTTTCTTTCATTATTACCATCTTGCCTGGGTAGTATTTTGCTGCACATTAAATGATCGAACAAGATGACCTTGCGATACAATACAACTCTGGAATGAAGTTTTACTATGCGAATGGATATCTGAAGCATATCCAAAGGATATATGCGAGCTGTTGATCACCCATAAAGAAGATATTTATCCGGCTCATATTATAAACTTTGATTTTGAATCTTCTGATGAAGAATATAATAATAAACTAACATCTAAACATGTCTCTTGTTTACTGGGGGGGGGGGGGGAGTCATACACATTTCCAGATCTCTTGAAAAGTACTGTTATAATCAATCTGATTAAAATACAGATCTATATTTCGTTTGGTTTTTTTATACTTTCGATGGCGTACATTACATGAAGATCTGGTAGGTTGTGTTGGTGGGCTGCGTCAGAGGTCATACGAGCGGTTTTTTGACCCTATGACGTCAGACATTGATTAATCAACGAGCGTTGACAAGAACTCACCGTAACAGACCGTTTCATTGGCTAATCCCTCATCCTAGTGTTATGAAGACGAAATTTTGAACTATATAAACGGAACAAAATAGGATCTGTGTTTTAATCAGATTGCATTATAATTTAATATTTTGAATGACGAAATTGGTACTGAACGAAAAAAAAAAGCTAACGAAAAGCCACTTTTCAGGTTAATTTTGAACCAAGTGGTTTCTGTCCCCAAAAATAAATTTTGCCCCCCCCCCATGCAATGGGAATCTTATACGCATATTTAGAGATGTGCAGCGAAATTAAAAAGTAATGTTTTTATCAAGCTCTAAGAAAATCATCATTTAAATCAACGAGAACTCATTTCCCACCAATTTTATCTCCCCCCATCCTTCCACACACGCACACTGGCAACCCCACCCCCACAAAACAAAACAGTTGGCCAGGGGCATCATAAACACTTATTTAGAGATGGACAGCCCTAGAAATTTATGTTTTATTAATATATACCATGATCATGACTTATGTCAACATAATGACTTTAGTAAGGTGCAACGGAATTTAAAAAAGTATTTTTTTTATCAAGCTCTAAGAAAATCAACATTTAAATCGGCGTGAACTCATTTCCCGCTAATTTTACCCCCCCCCCTTACACACACGCACACCTGCAACCATCTACCCCCACCTCGCCACAAATCAAAACAGTTGACTTATTTAGAGATGGACAGTCCTAGAAATTTATGTTTTATTAATATATAACATGATCATCATTTATAACGGGTTATTCTTACAGGGTAGGTTTTTTTCCATAAAAAAAACATGATATAAGGTTTTTCTTGCGGGAATTCTGGGATATTCTCATCTTGCGTACATGTAAACATAGACGGTGTATAAGCAAGTCCTCGACTTCGATTATGCTGGGGAAGAAAGACTTCAGAAAAAAACCCCGACAATGTTATTTTCTTCAGTCTTTCTTTCCCCAGCATAACCTCAGTCTCGTGCTTTATCCTACACATAAATTCCACCGAATGCACCGAGCATAAAGACTGAACCAGTTGCATTCATAGGAAAGTGATCAAGCACATACCTACATAACAATGTGATGTTAAATTTACGTTACATTTACGTAAAAATTGTCAGTCAGTTTACCATCATTTTGCTCATCTTTTTAACGATAATTTTACGTCAGGAAATGACGTTAATCTAACGTAAAGTTTACGTCATTTTTACGTTACATTTACGTCATTTTCTGACGTAAATCTAACGTAAAGTTTACGTCATTTTCTGACGTAAATCTAACGTAATTTTGCGAAAAGTTTACGTCACTTATGTTAGATTTACGCAAGAAAATGACGTAAACTTTACGTTAGATTTACGTCTGAAAACGACGTAAATATGACGTAAAAATGACGTAAACTCTACATTAGATTAACGTCATTTCCTGACGTTAAATTTTCGTTAAAAGGATGAGCAAAATGATGGAAATCTAACCGACCATTTTAACGTAAATCTAACATTAAATAAACATCATTTTCGGATGCAATTCTAATGTCAAATGAGCAATTAAAACCTTTAATATAATCTATTATTGGTGGTTGTAATTGTAAAATTCAGTCAACCAATAACCAAATCTTCCTTAACCATATGAGGTGCTAAAGACTCCTGGCGCAAACAATTATTGAACTGAAACTGAATCGTAGGCCCCATTTCTCTCTATCTATTTCGTCCTCGAGGTTTCGGTGGTCAAACGGTTAACGCATGTTCGTTGCATCATAAGTTCCGTCATTGAATTAAGAGAGAGAGAGAAATCGGGTTTAACGTCAACTCAACACAAATAAGGTAATTTCGGGACTAACACATGGTTCAATTTTTTATTTCAATAATTCGCTTGCGCGTAGGGGTCTTTAGCAGTGGGAGTAAACCGGAGGACCCGGAGAAAACCCACGAGGTTGGACAGACGACCCTACTCCTTGTCACATACAACCGGGGATTCGAAACCACCCCAGTTGACTCAATGACAGACTTTATGATACAGCGTACACACGCTAACCATTCAGCCATCCACCCCCCCCCCACCTTATTGAATTAAGTAGCGTGGTTTCGATTCCCCACTTGTACATGACAAGTACTAGTAGGGTAGCCTGTTCAATCTCATTGGTTTTCTCCAGGCCATCCGTTTTTCTCACACTGCTAAAGACCCCTACGTGCAAATGAATTATTGAAATAAAACTAAACCACATGCACCTAGTGTGATTCGAGTGGAAGTTAATCCCCATTTCTCTCTATACATGTATTTATCAATAACCATTCAGAATTCTAAATGTAATTGCAACCAAACGCCAAAAAACCAGTACAACTTACATAATTATTCAACAAAATATACTACAAGTATCTATACTTTATTCAAAAAATACATATATAATGTAATAAAATACAAAAGTAGACATTTAAATTGTAACAGTTTATCCACAGCATTAAGTTGGTGACAATTTAGGAAACGGTCTTCGAGAAACACTTTGAAAATGTGGAAATACGCCAACACATTCAGCAGTATATCAGAAAGGAAAACTGTGACGTTGACCAAATTTGATAAAAAAAAAAAAAACAAAAAAAAACCCTACGGCCTCTATCACGTTTGCTAAAGGTTTTCGAACTAAGTGGGATAATACTGGAAAGGAAATTTGTGGAATACTGAATATCTATGCTTCACACCAAATTTGAAACAAATGCGAATAAATTATAGGGCAGTGTTCACAGGTTTTGCAGCCAATCTGCGGGGGTGGGGACAAAATTTGAAAAAGATACATTAACGATACTTTCTGTAAGATTTAGATAAAGAGCTGACCATTCTTGCTATGATAGTTCAAAAATAAATAATATACATGTAAAATGAAAATTTCATTCAAATTACTTCATTCTGAGCCAAGTTATCACAGTTTGTAGTTTCGACATGATGTGTGCATTGTGGTAATGAGGGCACAGGTATATTCGAGACTTGGCCTCACTTTCCCATTTTTTAATTAAATTTTTAAATTGCAGGCCAGTTAAAATCTTGAGTATCCAATGCCTTCATATTGCATACTTTTACACATTTTGTCAGGCAGTTTCATTTTGATTTTCCCTAAATTCGAATTCAACCTTGATTATGCGATTTTTCGAACAATCAGGAGCCATAATCGAGGAAGTTACGTTTGGATATGCGCGATTATGAAAAGGAACCAAGATCTTAGTGTGTAATGGTTATATATACACATGTTTTTTTTTATAAATCGAATAAAAATTGTGACCTCTCCAGGGACCACAAGCTAAAAACGGATGGACGTCCAGGCGGACAAGGGCTACGACAATATACGTCCACATGAAAATGTGGGCGTATAAAAATTGTGACCTCTATAGAGTCCACAAGCTAAAATTGAAAACAACTTCGAGAGAGAGAGCGAGAGAGAGAGAGTCTGATGGTTTTTAACGTCCACTCAACACAAACTACATGTAGGTTCGGTATTAACATGGTTCAATTTTATTTCAATAATTCGCTTGCGCGTAGGGGTGTTTATCAATGGGAGGAAACCGGAGAAAACCCACGAGGTTGGACAGGCGACCCTATTCCTTGTCACGTACAACCGGGGAATTGAAACCACACCAGTTGACTCAATGACATACCTTATGGTACAGCGCGCATGTGCTATCCTTTCGGCCATCCAACCCCACAAACAACATTGAACGTGATATCTATGTATGGTTTGCAAATACGATTTCAAATACGGTCGGTAAGACGCTGGCTCACTAGCCTAGCGGTAGGGTGTTCGATCCCTACATTGGTCGAGAAAGTTCATCCAGATTTTCCGGCGTGGTTCCTCCTTGTCAGTGATGCAGGATGGAGGGCCTAACAAGTACAGCTGTCTAATCGTTCCGTAGTGCCGCTGTCCGGGCAAAGTTTCCTTCGTAGCACACTGTATGGCGTATTAGCCAAGTTCGGAGTAGAATAGTCGGATGTTAAACCCCATTATATTTCATTTTCTATTTCAAATACAAGCTAAACAGCATTTGTTCATTTTTTTTAAGACAAGTGCAGGATTTGGAGAATTTTATTTGATTTTTTTTTACAGTTCAGCCAATTAATATTTATATACTGTTGGTCTACATTAACACAGGGTACAATTTTATAGATAACTCTTACTGAGTTTAATATAAAGCAACGTTTCGACGAGGATACTCTCGTCTTTATCAAGAATGTGTCGTTTATATCAACACAATGGTCCCGACCAGGTGCGATATCACCAAAAATGAGCACGCAGTGGCGACACCAAATGACTTCATAATGATGGTTGCTTGGCAGAAGTGCAAAAATTAAGAAGACGTTTTTCGTCTAAATAATAGAAATAAGATGGAATAGAATTAAAATTTACACTGAACAAATAAAGAAGTTGGATTATACATTGTCTTAATTTTAAAAAATACATGAATAGAAGTTAGAAATTACATGAATAGAAGTTAAAAATTACATGAACAGAAGTTAGAAGTTAGACGAAAGCTCGTTAGAATTTTGAATCTAATATACCGCCATAGTATACTGGCTGCAGTAGATTTTCAACTCACTGATACAACTCAGTTCAAGCCAAAGAGCTGTTATATGATACTGTGACACAGTGACAGAATATCTGCTTGAGGCAAACTATTCATAAACAATTGACTCTTACAAGATCAAACGAAAAAAATATTTTAGACCTACTGCTTGTAAAGTAAAGCTTTGGCCTACATTCTGGTGAATTTTGTTCTACCATAGATACATATATGAGTTCGGTACATAATTAAAAAGACTTTATTGCTTTGCCATCTGGGTGGTTTCATAGACGAGTGTTATTGAGAAGAGTTATTGAGTTCAGTCGCTTGGTTTCAATCCCAAGTCGGTATGTGACAAATAGTTGTGTATGATAAGTAGTAATGTCATCTAGCTTCCATATACAAAGCCCTTATCAACATTTTTATAACTTCCTCGACATGACTGCCACGAATGGTGCTCAAATATAGGATCTGTAAAAAAAAAACCAAACAAAAATTCAATTAAAGCAACTTTTATACTCCAAAATAAAAATAAAATAAGGTTTAAATTATCATTCAATGTGTACAAAATACCTTGGTTTTTCGTCCCATTCGAAAGACTGTACATTGGCCCCAGCCTGCAGAGACTGGCGTTGGCCCTCTCCAGACTCTCTGTCGTGCTCAAAAGTCAACTTTAATTATGCACAGCAGGTAGATTTTTGATGAAAAGCAATAGCAGCCGGGGTCCAAGGGGGAGACGTCAAGTTTGGAATTACGTTCTGGTTGATTACAGTGTTACAGAAGAATTTGCTATATTTCTGCTATTTTGAATCAGAGAAGATTGGGATTAAAGTGTTGCCAATGCTTTGAAAGTAAAAATGTCATGTGCCAAAGCCTGCAGCGTTGAGTAGTGAGGACATTTTTTTTTTCACAAAAGCAAACTGTTTCGTAACCTGGCGTCTTACAGAAATAAGAATTACGGTGAAAAATTAGAAAATAAGGACATAGAAATATTTTTACATCTGTGTGAATAGTATTTATTATTATTTTTACTACTATTACATTGTATTGTAAGTTCTTTTCATATCGCTGAATTTGAAGTCTCAGTATACGTGTATATCAGCAGTCGGGGATATAAGAAAAAACTTACTTTCAAATAAAACCTCTCAATTTAACTGGTATAATCTATCTTTCTCTGTTTGTGTAATCCAAGTAGCTGTATATTGAACATTTCTCATGCACTCCACGAATAAATTCCAAAACGCCCGCCATCTTTAAAATAATGATTTTAATAATGATAGTTTAATCAATGTGGACAATATACTGAAAAAGACAACAAACATAGACCACCTTACATTGAAATCAGTTAATAGAAATTACATTTAATAATCTATCGATGTAGTTATTCATTTGTATTGACTGTAATTTATCTTGACCTTGACCCAAAATGGCGGCATATATCATATACGTAGATAACGGAGTCTATGCGACTATCAACTGTAGGCCTACGCGCTTCAATATTTTATTTATAGTCTATAACTACGTAATATTTTAGGCCTATGAATAGTAAAATTGAAGAAATTATTATATGATTCAGAGGCCTTTTTTTAAGCATGCACATGATATAATATACATACGTACAGCTTTATTCGGATCACGACGGATGCAGTACTGCACTGGCAGTAGCCAAACTCGTATATTTGGTTGATGTTTTTTTTAAATAGATCGACTAGAGCCATTTTATTCAGTTGTATCAAATTAAATAATCCCGATTTTTAAAATAATATTTCCATTGCGAATATAGGTATCTACTTTTAAGATGTCGGAATTTTTTTTATATTTATTTTCCCAGTCTTATATTTATCTAGGTCAAACTACAACATTTATTCGACCGTTGGACAACTTTCAAACGTGTGATAGAATCTACTATAAGGACTAAATTAAATATATTTTTTGTGGTAACAGAGCTTAGACACATAACAAATTGTACACACATGCAATAAAATAATATCTAAATTTCTAAAAATTTTGACCGAATTTAAATTGGTTTGAAAGGCCACTAACATGTCTGAGTTGGGGTATTAAGATAATTTATATTTACTTATTGTGCAAAAGTTAGTCAATTTAATAAATTCAATAACCACTCATGCAGTTAAACGCTGCCCCAAAATTAACATTCAGGCTGTAAAGGTGTTTTGGGCAATGAAATAAAAAAAGTATTGTAATATTTTGGGGCAGATTTTATTTTGTTTAACTTCTAATTGGCTAGTTCTTGTATGCATGGAAAACAGGCCACATGAAGCCAAGCCTAGAAAATATTCCAGAGTGTCCTAAATCTCATTAGCCATCAAATTTCCAAACATTCAACCAAAATGAGACGGAGGAGTCCACTAGGCCTACTATATTATTATTATGGTTCAATTATAGCACTTCATTACACATGAGTATTTCTAAGCGCATTCACAAAAACACCCATTTCAACACCATTTTTGGGGGGTTGGATGGCCGAATGGGGATGACCTGTCATTGAGTCAACTGGCGTGGTTTCGAATCCCCGGTTATACGTGACAAGGAGTAGGGTCGCCTGTCCAACCTCATGGGTTTTCTCCGGGTCCTCCCACTGCTAAAGACCCCTACGTGCAAGCAAATTATTGAAATAAAATTAAACTATATGTTAGTCCCGAAATGACCTAGTTTTTGTCAAATGGACGTTAAACCCCATTTATCTCTCTCTCTCTCGTTAAACCCCATTTCTCTCTCTCTCTCAACACCATTTTTGAAATAAATGAGTTTTTAAGTTTTGGATGGAAGAGGATTCACGAAGAGTTTTTGGAAGACAATTTCACCTTTTAGCTGCTCTGACAGAGAAAGAATATTGACAAGCATATTCAATATGTTTCTTTTCTTTCGATAGTTTAACAAAATAAAATTTACAGTTCGCACTACTTTCGAGTAGTTGTTGTAGTCACAGAGACTCGAATAGTAAGGAGAATGTGTTTGTGAACTGCACAGGTTTTTTTGTGGAATTATATTTATGACCCCTTTGCCACAGTGGCTAAGTGAATAAGACACTGGCTGGCTTGCTTGGAGGTCACAGGTTCGCTCACAGTGTTGCCCGAGAAAGCTCATCAGAATTTTCCGACGTGGTTTCCGCTTGTCAGTGGTGCAGGACGGAGGGCCTGACAAGGACAGCTGTCTAGTCGTTTGGATGGGACGAAAAACTGAGGTCTTATGTACACATTGGCATGTACATAAAAGATCCCCTGGCAGTTGGAATTCAATATAAGAGTAGGCCTGAGCACTGCTGTCCAAACAAAACTCCCTTGTAGCACACTGGCGCAAGGTTGGATGGCCAAATGGTTAGCGTGTGCGCGTTGTATCATAAGGTATGATTGAGTCAACTGGCGTGGTTTCGATTCCCTGGTTGTACATGACAAGGAGTAAGGTC